TCCCGAGTACTCAAATTTTGCCCAAAACCGAGGCAGCCTGACCCACAACAACTACGGTATTTTTGGATCTGGAAGCTTTCTTCCGACGTTTAAGATGCCGTGAATTTTTCGCCGATTCCGACGGCAACACCACAGATAACACGGGCAATGTTACCAAATTCAAACCTAAAAGTACCTGGAATCCTCCTAAGAATCGTTACCCAGCTTTAGAAACTTTCATTCATGCCATTGAGGAGGACGTTAAAAACCACACTCCTAGTCCAGATTTCCGCGACAATCTCACAAAAAATGAGAGGCAGACCATCGCCAATTTGCGTCAGCGTGATGATATTATCATCAAACAGGTTGATAAAGGCTCTGCCACTGTCGTAATGGACACTAAATTCTATGAAGAGGAGTCCTTAAGACAACTAAACAATCCTCTTCACTATCGGAAGCTCACAGAGGACCCCACTCCGGAAATTTCTAAGGAAGTGGAAAAATCTGTATTAAAGATGGTTAAAAAAGGTTCCATCGATCCCAAAATTGGACCCCATATCATCCAGGTCGTCCGGCACCAGGACGTTTCCATGTCCTACCCAAAATCCACAAAGCAGGCCATCCTGGCAGACCCATTATTTCGGACAACGGTACTGCTACAAAAAAAAATCTCTGAATATGTGGATGATTTATTAAGACCATATGTTGTTGCTCTCCTCTCGTACATTCAGGACTCCACGGACTTTATCCGCAAAATTAATCATATTTCAAATTTACCTAATAGTACTGTTCTGGCTACACTTGATATTTCGTCATTATATACTAATATCCCTCATGAAGAAGGTGTTAATGCGTGCATTTCAAATTACAAGCAAATACGGGGCAAAACCCCATCGAAATCACATCTCCGTGAACTTATCATGCTGATTCTGACCAATAATAACTTTGTTTTCGGCGACGGTCATTACCTTCAAATTCATGGCACAGCGATGGGCACCAAAATGGCTCCATCTTTTGCTAACTTATTTATGGGACAATTTGAGGCCAATTCTGTCCCTACAGCCCAAGAAACCAGATGTTTGGTTTCGTTACATTGATGATATCTTCATGATCTGGACCCATGGTGAAGATAGTTTGGATACGTTCCTATTGAACATTAATTCGGCTCATCCCACAATCAAATTCACTGCTAACAAATCCACAAGCAGTGTAGATTTTTTGGACATCACCGTGACCATGGAAAATGGTGCACTTAAAACTGATCTCTTCCGTAAACCTACGGATAAGCATATGTACCTGCTCTCTAGCAGCTGTCACCCCCCGCACTGTATAAAAAACATTCCGTACAGCCAAGCATTGCGCATGAGACGCATTTGTTCTTCGGATTTAGATTTTCAGAATCGAACAGAAGAACTATCCGGACATCTCCGGAATAGAAATTATCATCGAGGACCCATTGAAAATGCTATAAAAAAAAAAGAAGCAAAGGACATACCTCGTGCTCAAACACTGACGTACAAACCACGTCAACGATCGACCAGAGTGCCACTGGTCACTACCTAACACCCTAGGTTACCACCACTAAGCGCTATAATTCAGAAACATATGCCCATTCTACAGACCACAGAACGTCTTAGGTCTGTTTTTCCGGATACACCGTTCATAGCCTATCGCAGACCACCTAACCTTCGTGATATATTCGGACGATCTAAATTTAAGAGGCAAACTAACTCTTGCGACAACCATAATTTGGGTAGTCATCTTTGTGGTTCATCATGCAAAACATGCTCCTTGCTTGATTCTACACAATCATTCAAGAGCAACCAAACAAACCACATATTTTGGATAAGGCAATCAATTAATTGCCTCACCAAAAATGTCATTTATCTCATATATTGTAATATTTGTGGTAAACAATATGTCGGAGAAACAAAAAACATTCTCCGTATGAGAATGGCACAACATAGATCAGCTATCAGGACATCTAAGCTTGATCAACCAGTAGCCGAACATTTCAATTTAGCTGGTCATTCAATTTCAAATTTCAGAGTGATTGCAATTGACCATAATGCCAGTTGGAGCGAC